AATGTATAAATTATTGTGATTTTTTGTACAATTCATATATGTATACATACATATATATACATATATGGCATTATTTTATAACTTTATTATAAAAACTGTATTATGAACTTATAAGTTAATTTGAACCCATATTTACTGATCACTTGGTAAAATTTTCTAAGTCTATTCAATTAAATAAACAGTTAATGCATATTAATTTTTTGTTCATAAATTGCACTTCATTTTTCTTTGGTATAGATTTTTTTGTGTACATAATATCTTGTTTAAAAAATTAATAAATATTGCTTGCAGGAAATTATGTAATAAAAATAAATAAATATCTGCATATGCATATATACATCTGTATATGTATATATTACTCTCTGTAAATAGCATATTGCATGCATCTTTCATTTAAACTACTTTGTTACTGCGAATAGACAATCCAACCAAATAAATATGTAAAATGAATACTAAATGACTGTATGGAATCATATAGTGGAAAAAATGGTTTAAGATGTATTCTTAACTTATAGCCTGAACATTCTGTTAAAATAATGGGATCATTTATAAATATTCACTTTACAGTTAACTTTTGGTTGAATTGTCTAGTTTCATATATGATCATTTGAATATATTATACTTCAAATATTTATATATCTTGACATCTACAAGGTACTTAATTCAATAAATTATCTATATATATATATATATATTTATATCTCATCAGATTTGAGGAAAGATTCATTCAAAATGTTTTTGCTGAGCTTGGCAGATGAACACTATTACAATCAGTAATTCTTAAAGCTTGGTATGTGAAACAGTATGCTCATCGAAGCCGCAAATCTTCTATTTAGAATCATGTCATCTTATCTAAACAAATTCTACTTAGCGCTTCAAAGAAGAGCCCACCACCTCATTCTGTATATAATTTGCATAATTACAATTTTCAGCTGGTGTTGCTCTTTAATATAAAAAAACGAATTGCTTATATAATAGTACTCTCAACACAGACAGACACGAATCTTTTAAAACAGTAAAACCCTTTTAATGAACCGACGAGAAAAAGAATTCCATTTAGTATTCTTTCTTACATACCGTACATTGTGAATGTACATAAACGAAAGACTGCTCACTCTTTTTCACGAATGATACAACTATCTAAAATTCACTATATATTGCTTCTCTGATCGACCGAGTATTCCCATTGTATGCTGGATACAACTTGTGAAACGAATTCAATGGAATGGTACTTAAACTGTTCCAAGTAAGAACTGAATTGTTTCCGTGAACATACGCACAGAAATTCTTCTTAGGCTTTAAGATATTCACAGTATTATGTATACAGCACGCCAATAATTCAACTCAAACAATTGTATATAATATGAAAAACTTGTACCAACGTTAATAAGTATGTACAAATCATTTCTAATTGAAGTGAAACATAAGTGTACGACTTTTATGATTCGCACCGATGTCATGGATTCAAGTATGTTCCTATGAGACTGGACAGAAAATTAAGTCCTCTGTTTCTGTTGCGATTAATGAAGGTGCAGGAACTAATTACGTGGCAAATTCAATTATAAATAAAGCTATACCTTAACTAGTTCGTTCCTTTATCATGGTTTCTGAACACTTTCTATTGTTGTATAGTTTCAATTCAATCGAACCATTTCCGTCGATGGAACTGCTATTGTTGTTGCTGTAACTGTTGCAACAATGGACACACTTCGACCAAAGGAGTTCCTAAAATCTCCTGGCATACTTGATTCATGTCGGGTTCCATCATAAGCGACGAAATCTGATCTTCCGTTAACATCTCCACGCTACATTCCACACAACAGGTATTACAGTAACATTCAATTATTTAAAAATAAATAAACGAAATACTTGTAAAACGTAACATACCTTGCTAAACTTTCACTATCAGACGTCTCTTCATCTGCATTTAAATAAGTTAGTGTCTTTTCTAATGGACTAGGAACCTTTTTGCCTTTTCCTTCTACTTTCTCGCATTTCTCAGACCTCTCTTTATCTTTCTCAATTGTTCTCGGTTCGCTGGAACGTCTTTCGGTAAGGCTGGATATGTTCAACATCATCATTCCATGATTGAGTAACTCTTTCACCCGTTCTCCAGTTCCAGCGCTCCATAACATGTCGAGTGATTGCCTCCTGCTAGAGTTTGCTGTAATATATAATGCAATATTATATTTCCATTTGACATCATATAGTGTATTCCCTATTTTGAAATTAGTATTCAAAATTATTTACCTGAACTTCCGCCACTAGCCTCTCCACCAGCCGAACTTCGAGTTATCCAGTTAGCTAAACTGCTATCCAACTTACTCTTGCTTTTTGTAGATGGACTCCTTGTGACTTCTGACTTCTTTTCCGCGCTCAAAGTCACTTCGTTTCCTTTCGACATAGCAGGTAACGATTTTTGTGTTATTAACTTCTTCCGACTAGGTGCATCAGAGAATGGCTGAATACCTCCAGCGCTAACTGTTGGATGAGTAGCTTCCGGACTCAAGTCCATTGGTAGCGGTTTATAAGGAATTTGATCTTCTTCGTCCGAGTATACTTCATTGTTGTAATAAACCTCGTCTGGAGAATTGTTCAAGCTGATCTCCGTCCACTCTTCACCATTCTGTGCTGTTGTGTTAGTATTGTTCGTCTCTGCCGGTGTCTGAATAGTAACTCGTTTTTCTATGGGCGAAATAATGCTTGACAGGTCTGACAATCGCGATGTCGAAGAACTGGTTTGATTTAATGATATGATATGTTTCGAGTCTGTTGCTGCAATGCTCTTTGGACGGTCACGTTTTATGTACTTTCGAGGTTCCGTGGATGAGAGGTTCAGATTGTTTAGGCCCAGATATTCAGAAGAAGGTTCTCTGTCAATCTATGAGATAGTTAGAAGTATCAATAATTAGTACTGTCCTCTTGTAATTGAATAATTTTATAGATATTGGTAAAGAACATAAGATACTTACTCTTGTAGGCACAGGACATGGGGTATTAGGACTAATTTTATCGGGAAGATGCAAGTATTCATCGCTAATATAATCTGTACTATCAGGTGATCCAGTTACGCTAGAATCTGTCGAGTCTGTTGTCTTAGATTGAGTACCAGTCTGGTCAAGTATGTCTCTTGATTGTTTAATGCAGTCGTCAGTTCCGTCATACCTTCTAGTCTGTGAAAGAATTGAAAGTAATTATAAATAATTCTTTGGGCTTGATATAATATGGTATTAAAGAGAATTGGAAAATAATTGTACCCTATGGATTTCATCGCTAATTTTTTCTAAGTTTCTTAGTGCTTCTGCATAAGTCATTTTAGCTTCACCTACTGATCTTTCAAGCGCGCTCACTCTCAGTTTTTGTTCCTCTAGCATTTGATTAAAGTGTGCTTTCATCTCGTAATATGGTCTGCATAATAAAATGTTTATCAATTAATTCCTCAACGTAGAAGTTTGTTGTTCTTTCAAAATAGAGAATATAAGAGTATATACTATAAGAAGCATGTTTAAATAAAGCAGAACTTATATATTTCAATATTTGTCTGCTGAATAGTTTAAAACTCGTGCTCACAGGAGGTGAATAAAAAAGAAACATTGGTAAAAGGGAACTGTTTATAGCAC